CGCGGCCGTATGTAAGAATCGTATCTGCCATTGTTAAACGGAAAACTTCTCAGTTAACTCACTACTAAACACATTAAACGTTGAAGACATACTAGTCACAAATGTACACGAATGACAAATGTAACCTAGTCTACGTAGTAACAGAGCGCCATCTACCATAAACTTTCTTTAAACATCATAACTAAAAAAAAAAAAACGATTTTCAGACATATGTTAATGTAAAATTTTGTCCTAGTTTTGGTGTGAGGAAGCCGACCCAAAGTGTATAAAAGTACTTTTGATATACACTATATATATATATATATATATATATATATATATATATATATATATATCTGTGTGTATATGTGTGTATTTAGACAGCAGTCCCTCTATTATACATGTTTCATTAAAAACGTCAGACAAGGTACTGTGATTAAGCTCTTTATTTAATTTTTCTTGTGTTCGAACAAGTGTTTTCTTTTCTGGACAGCGTGCGTAGAAATTGTACAAATATTCTGTAATTGCGAGCGCTTTCGGTTATGCTTTTAGTCATTATCAAGGATAATATTGTTTTTACTTTTTAACTTGATGTATGGGTTGTGTGTATGTATCTAGAGTTATAGGGATGTTTTATTTTCCGAACACAGTCAGCGCATTGTGGCCGTGTTCGTAGTTAAGTTTATTATGCTTGTATTTTCTACTAATTACACCGTTCACACTACTACATGCCTATCCAGAGGACTTACGTTGCACGTCTCCGACCACAGATCCATCAGAACCTATTTAAACACACACACATACACACAAATTAACTAGACTCCATCCGAATCATACTAGTCGAAAATACAAGCATAATAACCACATTCACATTTAAAAAAGATTAAAAATAATGGAAGCCTTAATAATAAAAAAAGAAAAAGCCAACACTCAATAATATTAACTACGAACACGGCCACAATGTGCTGATTGTGTTCGGAAAATAAAATAATTATATTGCCTTATAAGATTTGACGACTAGAAAACCAGAAAATGTTTCTGTTGTATATATATATATATATATATATATATATATATATATATATATATATATATATATGTTTCATTAAATAATATAGACAAGTGTTGTCTATTTATTTTATGTAAATTCTTTTCATAATGTCTGATAAGCTTAATAACATTATCATTAAACGAAGAAAGAAAATCACAATATTGATACATATTTTTTAATCCAATCTAAGCTTTCGGCTTACATAAGCCATTATCAAAGATGACAATAACTGCACAATATATTAAGCAATACACGGACAAGAATGCAATGATAGTCTGTTTCTGTTTATATGGATGATTTCCAAGCAAAGATAAACACGTGCATATAAGACGCTGGAAGCGAAAATCGCATCGCAGCTCATGACATCACACACACACACACACACACACACACACACACACACACACACACACACACACACACACACAGATATATATATATATATATATATATATATATATATATATATATATTAGAGCCATTGATGCCTGTTTGATTTTAAAACAGCTCACTTAAACCAGAAACTATTTTTACTTATCTATCTATCTATCTATCTATCTATCTATCTATCTATATATATATGTGTGTGCGTTTGTGTGTGTGTGTGTTAGTGCCGTTTTTTTTTTCTATGGCTTCTACTAATTTGTGGAGCACACTGTTAATCTCTGATACTATGGCGCTAACTGGAAGCCTGGTTCGTTTGCTTTTTATTCTCATGATTGTTACTGTGTCTCATGCATTTGAATATTGACCTGGGATAACTCGTGCATATCCAAGATGGTTGAGAGACAAAAATGTCCCTGAAATGGCCAGCACCTTCCTCAGTATCTTCGCAGACCCCTCACTACGTTGATCTAGAATATCTTATCTTTTTCACGAATTTATAATTCGCCTGATTTTAAGTCAAGTCTTTTTTTTTATTGTTTCGATTATGCCAGTTATAATGGATTCTTATGGATTCTTATTTATTATATGGATAATTATGGATTATCATCTATTAAGTGGATTATTATGGGTACGGCCATAACATAGGTTTTCTACATTTTATTTTCAGATCCGTATAAAGTACTTTCATTTCATTCCCCCTCTTATTTCTTCGCTTTTTCTTTTCCTTTTCACCCTGTGGTCCGGTAAGGAAGTCACATCCATTATATGGTAGATGCTCTTCAATTTGTTTTCGACTATCAGATCGAGTTTTTTTTTGTTGCTGGAATGGAGTATTAGTCTAAAGTTCTAAGTTGCCGAATAACTTGTTTTTCAGCAGTCTCTGGTTTTAACTGATTCAATTTGTTTACAATGCTGAATCCAAATTTTCTACAGTTATTGTTGCTGTTATTATCATTATTATTAAGCCTTTCTCATGTTTTAAGGTTACACAACTCTTCATCCCACTGCCGCCATTTTCCCTATCGCCATCTTTCTTCCTGTTTTCTTCATCTTCCTTCTTGTTTGTCTTTTCAGTGCTTCTAAAACAAACAGACCGACATGTGTATAAGAATCCGTTTTACCATCCACAAAAACAATTCTTGCCTTCGTGACATTGTCCCTGCCTGCCGGGCGTTTAGAGCCTGCTGACTAAACATGACCGTCGAGGATTCAGAGAGAGAGAGAGAGAGGAGAGAGAGAGAGAGAGAGAGAGAGAGAGGGGGGGGTTTGGGGAAGAAAGCTAAAAGGTAGGCGTTCCCTGGCGGCAAAACGACTGGATGGTGAAAAAGAAAGGCGAATGGCGCGACGCTTAAAACATGTATAAAAGACGGAGATTGTTGTAATAAAAATAAAAAAGGAAAATGAATGAGGAAAAAAAATAAATAAAAATGAAGATATACGGGAAGAATGGCAAATAAAAGAAGGGGAAGGAAAAAAGGAGTTAAATGAAGGAAAAGGAAGAGGAAGCAGACGACAATGGAAGCCATCTTTTGAGATAAGCGTGGCAATTGGTAAAAATGGGAACGAAAAGGAAGAATGGCGGAAAAGATGAAAAAAGAGAAAAGAGGCAATCATATTAAAGTTAAAGAGAATAATTCTACTGATAATGTGGTCGTGCTGTGATTATTATTATTATTATATTATTATTATTATTAGCAGCTGCTGTGGCTTGATTATCGATATTGTTGCTATGCTTCTGTCATCAGTTTTGTTGCCATTGTTTATGTTATAAAAAGGGGAGTGAAATCAGAAAAAAATTCTTTGAAAATCACAGATGATGAATAAGAGAATATGGCACAATATTCGCAATCTAAATTATTGCTTATATTAAAAGGAAAAGCTGAAAGATCTAAAGACAGCAGTCTAAGCCATCATTTCTGTGTGAGTTGAAACTATTTGGAAGACCCCCTGCGACGAGATTATCACAGTTGGGCAATATCAAAATATGATTCGGTATTTTGAGGTCAGCGATAATATTGACGAGTGAGCTGACGAACAGAGTTGATTTGTGAAACGATTTAATAATACGTTGAGTAAAATTCAATCTATAATATTTAACCTATAATAGTCTCTAGAATTTGATTTATAATCTCTGTCTATAAAAGTCAGGATGTCTGTGTGTGTGTGTGTGTGTGTGTGTAACGAATGCACGGCCGCAATTTTCGACGGATTTGCACCAAAACTTACATGCACATGCTCCAAGTTAGCGGGAACTCCAACACCGACTTTGCATTTCCCAACTCCCATCGATAGCGGAAAGAATCGATCTTTTCATGCTTCTACGTAGTTTGCGGCCATTTTCTACTGGCCAGAGTGAGAGCCTATAGCTGGCTGCCACGAATAGGCAGGAAGATTCTATTGGCCAGCGTGAGAGCTAACAGCTGACTGACACGAATGTTAACTAGCATGCTAGCATGCACAAAGAATCGATAGCTGCATTCGTCACAAGTGGGAAAAATTTAAATCTGCATGGCATTTTACTCCAATTGGCTCATTCGCTTGCTTAAACTCAACGTTGATTCTGATTCCGCAGAACTGGGTTGGGTGTGAAAAAGTATTTTTTTTCATTCGGTTTTTCCAGTTACGAGTCCTTTTTTTAAAGCTGATCGTTTTGTGTTCATTTTGTTTAATTCTTTTTTCGTAACAGATTTAATGTTTAGTATAGAGCTTAGAAAAAATTCGCAGTGTGAGATAGGCAAGAAGTAAGGCATGTAGCAACATCAGCACGGCAAAGGGCACTCCTTTAAAGGCAAGTGATAGCGATTGCTGTATGAGTCGTACGATTTTTGAATCAAGCACGGGCAACGCCGGGCCTGCTGCTAGTAGAAACTATAAAAATAGATATTTAATCCATAATAATTAAACTGTAATATTTATACTATAATATATAACCTGTAATATACCTTGATATTTAATCTTTAATAATTAGCATATAATGAATAATGATATTTAATCTATAATAATCAAGCAATAATATTCCAAAATATTTACATCTATACTAAATACCCAATAATATTTGATAATATTAACATTCATACTTAAAATCCTATAATATTTTATAATATTTACATCTATACTAATTACCCGATAATATTTTATAATATTTACATTCATACTAAATATCCTATAATGTTTTATAATATTAACATCTATAGTAATTACACGATAATATTTTATATTTACATTTATCCTAAATATCCTATAATATTTTATAATATTTACATTTATACTAAATACCCTATAATATTTTATAATACTTACCTCTATAATAATTACCCGATAATAATTTATATCTACACTAAATACCCCATAACATTCTATCATATTTATATCTATACTAAATACCCTACAATATTTTATAATATTTACATCTATACCAATGACCCGATAATATTTTATAATATTTATATATATTGATTATCCTATAATATTCTATATTTACATCTCTACTAATTACCCGATAGTATTCTATAATACTTACAGTCAGTTACGCGCCACGCATGATACACGCTTAGACAATCATGTATCTTTCGATACATGACTGACGAGGCAGATTTTTTCCAGCAGTAGATTGCCATTTCTTTCTGCGGTAGACCAGTTGCCATCCAAGGCTATCTATAGAACTCATAGCTGGAGTGCGAATAAGAGGATTCATACCTTTCCCAAGATATTAGCACGTAAGTGAATGTAATAGATTTGATTGGAATTCGAACTCGGCTCTACGATTCCTCAACCCGAACCGCTATCCACTACTCCACCGTGCTTCCATAATATTTACATCTATACTATTTACCCGATAATAAGTTATAATATTTACATTTATACTAAATACCCTATAATATTTTATAATATTTACATCTATACAAATTAACAGATAGTATTTTATAATATTTAAATTCATACTAAATACCCTATAATATTTTATAATATTTATAACTATACTAATTACCGATAATATTTTATAATATTTACATTTATACTAAATACCCTATAATAATTTATAATATTTAAATCTATACTATTTACTGGATAATATTCTATAACATTTATATCTATATTAATTATCCTATAATATTCTATATTTACATCTATACTAATTACCCGATAGCATCCTATAATATTTGCATCTATACTAATTACCCAATAATATTCTATAATATGGTTGTAGAGTAGTTTTCACAGTGGAGGCTTATATTCCGCTAAGTCGGTCCTAAAAGGGTCCGACGTACAAAACGTTAGGAACTTGAAATAAGAGTTAATGACGCAGCAATTTAGTTGTGATGGTTGATACTTCAATGTCCGACATCGACTGACTCACTCAACTCCACTGAGCTCAACTGGCGCTTGCTACTACTACTACTACTTATTATGTGTGGGAGAGTCTATTACAATAGAATAGGTAATGTTCTGATATAAGAAATATTTAGAGCTATACTAATAATCCTATAATATTTAACTATATTTACATCTATGGCATATAAGCATTTTAAAAATAATTTCTACCCAAGCAAGACAAAGAGGTTACGGTGTGTGAAAGAAAAAGAAAAAGAAAAACACTATTAAGGAGAGAGAACAATAAAATAATATGAATTAAGAAGACAGAAGATACCGATTGTCATTGCATTTAAATTTTTGAAGATCAAAGATGGCTGAAAAGCAAGGATCAGGAAGAGAGTTCCACAGGCGAGAGAAGAAAATGTTCGCATAGAACTTACGGTTACATCTATAAAACGAGCGGCCAATCTGTTACTACGCTTAAATTCACAAAGTCTAGGTATCATTGAGGAAAGTTCATCAGAACAATTACCATGAAAATATTGATAGCAAAAGCACAAGGAGCCAACGTTACAGCTTTAGAAACGTGAAAAGCCGAGCTATCAAGAGCAATAACATTGGAGATTCTTCATTGGATTTTGTCAAGAATCTCTAAATACATATCATGAACACCAGACCAGACCAGCTTGGACCAGCCCAGCTCAGATCACCCCGGCCCAGACCAGACCAGACCAGACCAGACCAGACCAGACCAGACCAGACCAGACCAGACGTTGGAGCAATATTCTATGCATGGACGAATGGCAGACTTATAAATATGTAAAATAGATTCTATCGAGAAAAATTGTCCAGCAAGGCTCGGTGAACCAGTTTTGCTAGCAGCAGAACTAGCAATTGATTCACCATAATTTTCACACTTCATATCAGCGGAAAAAAACGGTAGCCCAAGAAGGTTCCACTTGTTTAATTATCATAGTTTGAATATTTTTAAATATTAAAGCCACTAAGATATATGTCATCACTGATTGTGAAAGAATAAAAAAAAAGAAAAAGAAAATATTATTAAGGAAGATAGTGGATAACGATTGACATTGCATTTAAATTTTTGAAGCTCAAAATTGACTACGAAGCAAGAAGCCGGGGGAGCGTTCCACAAGGAAGTCGTTATGTCATGTTTTAAGGAACTTCATCAAGCCGTGACTTTCAAATTAATGCTACGCACCAAACGTGTTTAGAAATAATGAAACAGCAGAACAAAGGCGTTTTTTTCAGGCCAATGGCTAAAAAGGGATTTATTTTCTTACTTCATGTTCTATTACTGTTCTCTTACGTCGATAACATTTTCTCAGATGTCATACTCACTCACCACTAGTGTCTTAGTATCTTTATCGCCTTGTTTGCGGAGAAAAGAATAAAAAAGAAAATATTTTCAGAAACGTTCAGGCAAATTAGGACACAAGAGGTTACTGAGTGTTAGAGAATATGAGAAAAAACTACTATTAAGGAAAGAAGACAATAAAAGAACAAGAATTAAGAAAACAGAAGATAATGATTGACATTGCATTTAAATATTTGAAGTTCAAAGGCAATAAAGCCACTAGGACGCAAGAGGTTACTGAGTGTTAGAGAATATGAGAAAAACTACTATTAAGGAAAGAAGACAATAAAAGAAGAAGAATTAAGAAGACAGAAGATAACGACTGATTCTTTTTGCTGGTAATATTTTTCCAGTCCAGGTGGTTAGGAAGAGGTTGACGAGATTCGCCTGG